TATATAGTTTGTTGTACATAGTTTTTTGTTATTTACACTCAGGTGTTTTATACTGTTAAAAGTTATTTACATTCAGGGTTTTTTTGCACTGTTAATTGCACTCAGGTGATTTGTACTTTTAATAGTGTTTTACTTTCAGTTTTTGTTGCACTGTTTGTTTACACTCACTTATTTGGCTTGCGGTTTGCACTGTATACAGTTAACATTGTTGTCTTGCACTGATTGTTGTGTTTCCATTTGCAAATAAACCATTGCAGGAACATTTACTGCAAAGACAAACTCTCTGTTGTTGATTTAATCCTCTACATTCTACACCCTCCTCTCATAAAAAGTGTCTATACTAAATGTTTAACAGATGTGGTTAGAGAGATCTCACTGATCAATAAATGATTAAACCTTGATTAATGTATCAGAGAGCAGAGAGTGTATTTTTTAGCTTTTACGCCACTAATTTTTGGAGGAAAAAAACAGCCATTTCTGCATCTCTTTTTGGTGGTTTGGTGGTTTATTGTATAACCATTACAACCATCAGTCTTCACTACTACATCATAAAAAGAAACCCTCATAACCACTATCTTATTAAAATTGTTAACTATTCATTTCACTAAAACACACGTCAATAGATTAAATTTGACACAACTAAAATTTTGGACTAAAGTCATCAAATTTCAGAGTAAGAAACATTTGAGATACACACCAACAGTTGTTATTCAAGTGTTTATTATTCAAAACAACAACAAAACAAAATCAGTAGATGATGAACATAACAAAAGGCAAACAAGCTCAAATACTTTGTACTGTAGTTATTCACATTGTTCAAATGTTATTAAAGTGATGCATTAGAGCAGCACGTGCTGCCACACCTGTATCTACCCCATCTAGCATCGGTGCATCAGGCTGGTTAAAGTGAACAGGATCAGCCCATTCCTCTCTAAAGTCCTCCCCGTGGCTCTCACACAGATTATGGAGGACACAGCATGTGACAACCATAGACTTGACTGTGTCTAAGTTGGAGTCATTTCTTTTGAGCAGACATCACCATCTTCCCTTCAGTCGCCCAAAAGCATTCTCTACCACCACCCTAGCTCTACTGAGCTTGACGTTGTAGTTGGTCTGCTCGTCAGTTAGGTGGCCATTATCCATGAAAGGTTTCATGAGCCAGCTCGTCTGAGGATACACAGCATCGCCCAAGATGTAGTAGCCCATGTCATGGCCCTCAATGACGCGATGCTGTCCTGCGAAGATCCTGTCAGCCATATTCCAGAGTCCAGATCTACGAAGAACTCTGGCGTCATGCATGCTTCCTGGCAGCCCAGTGAACACATTCCAAAAAAGTCCTTTCCCATCCACCACTGCCTGCAGGACAATAGAGTACCAACCTTTCCTGTTGAAGTATTCAGTGTGGTACTCCTGCGGTGCCAAGATTGGAATGTGAGAACCGTCTATGGCACCAAAACACATTGTGGCACCACCCACCTGTTTTCAAAATAATTCGCCATTTCCCGAAGTGTGTCCACATTTGGAAACTGGATGGCTTCCGGCCACAGTATATCCTCCACAGCAGAACAGAAGGCCTTCAAACACTTGCAGGCAGTCGAACGGCTTACCCCAAACAGGCGCGCAACGCTCCTATAGTCTGCGTTTGTTGCAAATTTCCAGACGGCTATGGCAACCCTTTGCTGGAGGGGAACACACAGGTGATAATTTGTGTCCTGCTTCTCTATCGCTGGTTGCACCCGCTGACAGAGATACATGAAAGTTTCCTTCGACATGCGGAAATTCTGCACCCACTGTTCATCAGAGAAAGTCGGCACAACCACTTTCCACCATTCCTCACTTCTCTTGAGGGTCCAAACAATCGGAGCAGTACGCCGTGCACGTTGTAGAAGAATCTGTAACACAGTAAATTGCATTAACGTTAACTCTCATTTTATCAAAACACTGTTTGTAACCAAAGTGAAATGAACATGATATGAAGCCTTAATGAAATGCTGCAGCACAAAGTGATATATTACAAAACTGTTTTCACATTAACAAAAAACACGACCATAGAGTACAGTAGAAGAATAGTAGAGTAGCAGAGGAATTGTAAAGTAGAGCACAGTGTAGAAGAACAGTAGAGCACAGTATAACACTAACTGTAGACAGAGTAAAAGAACAGTGGAGTACTTTACTATTCTTCTATTGTACAGTATTGTACTGTAGAGTGCAGTAGAGTAAATACACAGTGGAGTAGGGTACACTACAATACAATAGAGTAGAAGAACAATAGACTAACAGAATAATAAAGTGGAGTAACAGAAAAGTAGAGTACATCAGACTAGTAAAATAGAGAATACAGTACAGTGCAATAGAGTAAAGCAGAGCAGTGTAGTAGTTTGTGTTATTAAAAGTAATGTTAGCTTACCCTTCATCTGATGAGTCTGCGACGCCGAAGTCCATCCTCTGTTAAGAAAACGTCCAACAAAGCAATTCTTCTGACTATTCGTTGTCTCATTTCCTCTCTGACCATTTCAGCCCTGTCGAATTCTTCTTCGAGACGTCTTCTCCTCTCGTTCATAGCTTCCACCTCCATGTAAACGAAGAGACACGCCAGCAAACCAGCAACCACCTCAGCTCCTTCCATGCTGATAATCGTCTTTCTTTTTCTGCTATCTTGTTCTTACTTCTGCCTCGTACTTCTGCTTCTTCTTCTTTGTTGTTGTTCTTCTGTTTCTTTGCCACCGCGTCGCTCCGGTCAAAATGGTCGCGCAACGATTATGTCACATCCAGAGCCCGGAAAATTTACAGGAACCTTCCTCCCACTCCGCTGTCTGTGGAGACACACGCAGTTGAGAGGGCCGAGCGAGAGGACGTTCCTGTAGTAGTTCCTGCCCCCAAAAAGTACCAGGAACTTCTTTGGTGGAAACAGGCCTTATACCTTCTCCCACACCTCCTCTTCTCACACCTTCAAACATACAGCCCTCTGGCTCCAATCTGTCCCTCTCCACAGACCAGGTGAGAAAAGAGCTCAGGCAGATAAAGGTGAGAAAGGCTGCGGGTCCGGACAGCATCAGTTCCAGGCTCCTCAAATCCTGTGCAGACCAGCTGTGCCGGGTCGTGGAGCACGTCTTCAACCTGAGCCTGAAGCTGGGGAGAGTTCCACAACTGTGGAAAACATCCTGTGGTACCAGCCGCACCCGAAGGACCTCAACAGCTACAGGCCAGTGGTGCTGACATCGCACCTGATGAAGACACTGGAGCGGCTGGTCCTCATCCATCTCCGCCCCCTGGTGGAACCATCAATGGACCCGCTACAGTTCGCTCACCAGCCTGGCATCTTCCTCCAACATAGAGCTCTTTCTCACCTGTGAGGATCATGTTCTTCGATTTCTCCAGTGCTTTCAACACCATCCAGCCTGTGCTTCTGAGGGACAAGCTGGAGCTCACAGGAGTCAATCGTCATCTCACATCCTGGATTACAGACTATCTCACCAACCGCCCACAGTATGTGAGGTCAAAGGACTGTGTCTCAGACATGGTGGTCTGCAGCACAGGGGCTCCACAGGGAACAGTTTTGGCTCCTTTCCTGTTTACCCTGTACACTGCAGACTTCAGACACAGTTCAGCCACCTGCCATCTCCAGAAGTTTTCTGACAACTCTGCCATCGTCAGCCTCATCTCAGAGGACAATGACAGGGAGTACAGAGAACTGACCAAGGACTTTGTGGACTGGTGCCTGTCAGACTGTTCAACCAGCACTGCTCTCAGTCGACCACACATCCACATCCATACGGGCTGAATAAAAACAGTTATGTGCAATAGCTATTCAAACATGCAGAGTTTTAATTATCCACTGTGTTACAGTTGTCATTGTCTTGTCATTTTCTTGCTGTTGTTTTATTACCATATATCGCTGTATGTCATTGTTGTTTTTTTCTGTTTATACTTTATATATTGTATACATACTTATTTTTCTTCTATCCTCTTTGCTGCTGCAACAACTGAAAATTTCCCCTCTGTGGGACGAATACAGGGATATCTTATCTTATCTTAAAACCCAACAACTCTTCTCAAGACTCCAAACTTTGGAATCAAGCTTACCTTCTCCAAAATGTCATGCTCCTCCCGCCTCTTCTTTCGTTTTTCACTCTTACTCTCCATCTTCTCCAAAGTCTTCTCTTGAATCTTTGTTTCTCTCTTCTTTCCTCTTTCACTCTTACCCTCCATGTTCTCCAAAGTCTTCTCTTGAATCTTTGTTCTCCAAAGTCTCTTCCTGTCTCTTTTCGTCTGTCTTTTGTCCTTCTTCACCATCACTGTCCATCTTCTCCAAAGTCTCTTCCTGTGTCTCTTTCTCTGTCTTTTGTCCTTCTTTAAGCTTATCTTCTGTCTTATTTCTGTCTTCACCTTCAATCTTTGACATTTCCAAATTGCCCTCATCCACTTCACGTTCTTTTTCTTGTCCTTCATAATCTCCTGGTCTTTCTTCAGGCAGGCTCTTGTGCAATGTTGTGTCTCCCACTGAGACTTCATTCTCCAACAGCCACTCTTTGGACACAGTTTCCCCCATGGATCCTTTATGTTAAGTAAATAATGATTGGTTACTATTGAAAACTGTACCAGTATTTATCCTGTGCACTGTACTATTTATTTACCTGAGGGAATCATCTGTCCAACTGTGGATCCAGCCTGGTGTTCAATGTTGTCGCCTTAAAAGTGTATAATAAATACATAAATGTATGATAACATGCAACTTTCCTTGTCCAGGTTCTATTACTTCACTTTGTCATATTTTCCCATAATTACCAGATATTGGCATGATGACTTCAAACAAAGATGACTGGTGGAAAATCATCTTATTCACCATATTGACTCGGTCACACACAGTTTTTCTTGAGTGAGTTGACAAAATTTTTGCTGTTTCTGGGCTTACAAAAGCCTGCTGCATCTAAAAAAAGAAAAAGAAATAAGGTGTGAAAATATATTCTAGATCATGTAGTTCGTCTAGCTCAGATGTTCAGGTGTGTTTTAGTGCAGTGCTCTTACACCAGGAATGGACTTTGACTGCCACCTTGTCATTCTGTGGGAATAGGTCAAAGCATGTTGTAAACACTTTAGAAAGCCACTAATTATTAACAAAAAGCGAGCAGATCTACTTCACAGTCAAAAGTTATCATTTTGATTTGTTGGCCTCATAGAAACAGATTTTATCTGTCTAAACAAGTCTGTTTACTGTAAAATACTTTTTCTGACATGAGTAACAGCTTTTCTTGTTTTTGTTATATGTGGTATATGGTGGTATGTTGACATTATACTTACTACAGGTGTCTTGAGAATGACAGGACTCAGTGAAACCAGGGCTGTATTCAGTTTTAGGTCTGGAGATTGGCACATCAATGCTCGTGTATCCTGTTAATTTAGCAATATGAATTAAAGAACAAATGAAATAGACAAGTGTGGGTTTTAAAAGCCAAGATTCAAGTTTTTATTTTGCTAATGTGGTAAAACTTTAGCTTTTTGTGATATGATTATTGCTTGTTTGCTTGTTTTTTTTAAAAAGTCAAAAGAATATTAAAAGCTTTGTACTATGTGGAAGTACTGAAAACTGTCAAAACTCACCATTTTTTGGTTCAAAGGCACAGATGCCCTTTTCTCACGCAGCTGGTAAATCCTTTTTGGCACATATTCCTCATCACGATCTGGTACTGTTTCAGTTAGTGTGGTTTTCATATCACCTGTATCATCCTCATCAGATGAGCTCACCATCTTTTTTTTAGGAAAAATAAAATATATTAAGCTCATTTTAGAACGATGTATTTTAATTTGTGTGTGGAAACACTGCAGCTAGTCACATGTCTCACCTGCTGGTCTGACGGCACAAGGGTCTTGTTGCTGTACAGCTGGTTAAGCCTTTTTCTCACACGCTTCTCTTGGCCCAATGGTTCCTGCTCCTCCTCTTCAAACCCTTGATTGTCTTCATTTTGCGCAGGTTCGTTGTCCTCCCTTTCATCCTCCGAAGAAGCAATGGTCATGGTGTTGTCTTTCTTGTGTTTCTCTCTGCGTTTCCTTGTCTTTGCAGCATATGTAGAAATTGCCATCATTGACAATCCTCTACTCTGGAGTGTGACCTCTGCTGGGTCCTCCGCTGTGCAAAGAAATGGATAAAATGAATACAAGTTGATGGATACTACAAGAAAAAATAGGTTTGGCATTGATTTAGATTGTTTAAAAAACCTTGATAAAATCTTTTGGCTGTGTTTGCATCATGGCACATAAAAGTCGCCACTTTCTGGTAGGTTTTATGGCCCAACTGCCGCTTGGCCTGGAGGAATGAATGTAAAAAAGAAATACACACAAGTGTAAAATTCATTAACTTTTCACCACACTTTACGTTACATGTTTTTAAGATATAAAAAAAAACATGATAAGTTATCTCACATAAGTGGCAACAGAGGAGCGCAGCATGTTGAAAGTTGGGGCTGTCCCCAAGCCCATCCCCTCCCAGGCCTCCTTGAAATATTCAGACAGCTTCAGCAGGATGCCTCCACTGGTTGTGTGAAAGAAGGTAGAAGCCTCTTTGCCTCCTTCAATTCTGTTTCAAAGCAGGTTGTAACGCTGCAACCAGGAATACTCGCTTGGCTTGAGGGGTACAGCTGCTTCACCAAAGTACCTTTGAGACTTGTGCTGTCCAACCTAATAATTAAGGAATGTTGACTTTTCACTCTGACCAACTGATATAACGATGTGTATGTCTCTTGTGTCCTTTCAGTTTTTGTAATAATGTTTGCACTTACACGGATGATGCGGGCACCCTGCTTAGTCTTTTCTGCTGCCTTGACCTCCTTTGTGGTCATGTTGATCACAACACCCTTTCGGTGGCCTGTTGTTGCAATAATATATCCACCCAGCAGTCCAAAAAACTCTTTCAGACATGCTCGGTCCTCTGGATGCTTCTCAAGGTCAACTGTAAAAGCAGAGGAAGGACATTGTATGCATTCACTTGCAATGATGATGTTCTTTACCTAAGTACCACACGTTGGCCACACAAAAGCAGCAGAGACCAGCCCATATATAAAAACCCAGTTTGTAGATGCTAATCCCTGTAATGTAAAATCTGCAGAACGGTATCTTCACCCAAAGTTTGAGTCTGGAGAAGCCCCATAACATTAAATAAACCTTATTTTTACAAATCTGAAACTTATGCTGAGCAATGATCCATACCCAGTACTGCAGTGATCTTCTTTGGAGCCTCATCTATAAACCATGCATGTTTCTGTGCCTTGACCAGTCTCTCTGAAATTTTGAATAGCATTTATTATATGCATGTTCCCTGCTTTTAACGATGTGATGTTAATGTTTGGAGGTGGGGTTATGAATGTTAAACATACCAGATTTACTTCGCCTCACACTGAGCTGGTGCCCGACCACATCCCGGCCAATATCTCTGATCCGGGCCCTCAGCTCTACCAAGATGGCGTTGATATTTTTTGTTCCCAGTCTGACAGATGGTGGTGCCATGTTTGAAATATATTTCATAAAGGCCACAGCATCCATCAAATAGTTTCTCTGTGTTGGGGGTTTGAAGCCTTTTTCCTGAAGGTCTGCAACAAAACTTGAAAGACAAAAATACAAATACAGTCATGTCCTCTACCCTGCGACGCACTGATGCTTCTTACAGTGTAGTACTGTTAGGGATATTTTTGTTTCTTGTGCCGATTACACCATCCCCTGATATCTGTCAGGGGTGTTTTATCTCTTTTATAATCAAATAGTGTTTTACCTCTCCTATTGATTAAGTGACTTATTTTACCTCTTATTGATAAAGCTGATCAAGTGACCCTTTCCTACCTCTGATTAATACAGCTATACTTCCTACCTCGAGATAGTGTAGTGTGCCTTAAATCACATATCATGTTTGTAAGCAATAATCAAAGATACTGTGTTACTAATCATTGAGTTGTTGTGACTTGTCGAACAATGAGAGGGTATGAAGCATTAGTCCCGTGGTGCGAAGGATTAATACATGTGAGAGATAAGCCAGGATACTCTGAAAGTCCCTTTATTATAACTATTATTATTATTACTAACGAACACGCACAGAATCACAAGTCTGCACTAAAAGTGACTTTTTACTGTAGCTCATACTGTGACATTTGATGCAATTGTTTAAAGATAGGCCTGTACACCAAGTTACACAGGCGCCTTTGTTTTCAAAGAATCAGCCTGAAGCTGTGGCCAAGGTCATGCGAAGGATGCAAGCAAGTGATGGGAGAAAGTAACAGAGACATGGAGGCGAGCAAGTGATAGGAGAAAGTAACAGAGACAATGGAGCCTAAGACCATAGAAAGACTCCAAACATGGCGCAGGTGAGATAGTATAGGGAGGATCTTTCAACAGGGTGATGTCTTCTGTGGATGGATGGTTCGTGTGCCAAGAGGCTGGGACCAGCCTGTGCACCAATGAAGGAAGAGCTAAGTCTAAACCACGGTTTCTTCCCACCAGTTTAGCCAATCATAATAATCAATATTGACTCGTAATTTGCATGCTGCGCATCATAAAGTGAATATGTGTTAACAATCTTTATCCTTTTCTGGGAGGCTGGATACAGAGTAACAGCGATCCGCTGACTGTGTTTTTCCAAACAGAAAAGGTCCATGATCATGTACTTTTAATAATCCAATTTGAAAATAAATAGTTAAGAGCACGTCGTAGTTTGTCTTCTCTCAAATAAACGAACACGTTTTCCTGACAGTACTTACCCACGGATTCTAGCGTGGTTGCTCAGGAAAAGAAGGCCAACATTTGGGATTGATGAGTCTGCCATGTACTCTAGAAAATCCCGAACATGTTTGGCTCGCTGCTTGGCATTTTCAGAAGTTTTTCTACCAGGGTTGGCACCTTCTGTGTGGCCCCTAAATTCCTCGACCAATCTTACTGAAGAGGAAAGAATATAAAGCAAATCAAATATTTTTGCATGGATCTGCACATTAACACAACATCCCCTATCTTTCAAGTTCAATACTAGTACAGTGACTATGATATGAGGGTATCTTCACCATAGCAAGGGGCTTTGCTGGGGAGCAATGGTGCACGTCTGCGATGTTTTGCTGCCTGGAAAAAGCACATGAAGCAGATTTTTTTAATCAAGAGTTACTGAAAAAATTGGTCATATTTAAGAAGTACACCAGAGGAATAACTCAACACTCACAGTTGCACGCATTGTTGAAGAATGTAGCTGCTTGAGCTCATCGTTCCTCATCTGGAGCAGGTTCTTCGCCACCTTTAGTTCAGCAGAGAGAAGCTGGCAGTTCCTGCACCCAGGATCAGGGGCCCTCAGGACAGAACGCCTTCTTCTTCGCTTGGCCTGTTGGTCAACTGTTCCTGTGTAGCAGGAAGCCTGGCTGGTTGAGGGAGAAGGATCCAGCATAGCTGGTGCTTCTGGGTCACAAGAAGCCTGGCTAGTTGAGGGAGAAGGATCCAGCATAGCTGGTGTCCCTGGGTCACAAGAAGCCTGGCTGGTTGAGGGAGAAGGATCCTGCATAGCTGGTATTTCTGGGTCACAGGAAGCCTGGCTGGTTGAGGGAGAAGGATCCTGCATAGTTTTTGTTTTTGGGTCACAAGAACCCTGGCTGGCAAGGGGAGAACTAGACATGGGGCCCGAAAGAGGAGGCACAGTGGTAGAAGCTGCAGCATGGGAAGCAGCCTCTATCACCCTCCTGACACCCTCTTCGATTGCTGCATCATCCACCTCGTCAAGATGTGAGACCATTGGTGGTGTGGGGTTCGAAGTACGTAGGAGGGCCAGTTCTCTCGCAATGTATCTGTCCTTCGCTTTCTGGATGTACAGTGTAACCATTGGCTTCTGCAAAAAAAGCAGAACGTACATTTAGTAAATCATTTCATTCTGTCTGAAAAAGTTGCATTACCTTTAGCATCATGCATGTATTTAACCAGCAATATTCTTTCTGTGGGATGTGTAGCACTAAATAAATACAGCATTTCTGAATCTATATTAACCACACAAGGATCAAATGAAGACCACAGACCCACCACACAGCAAGGAAGAACAAGAAATACAACAAAGACCAAAGTTGCTGGGCTTAAGATCTCAACCTGACTCAACAACACACATAAATCACACAGAGGGACTACCTTCAGGCTGTGGATCCTTTGCAGATGCTTGTCGAGTCGGTTAATATATTTAGACTGGCAGAAACGCACTGGGCAGTCCAGATTTGCGCGAAAACTGGAGAAGCAAGAAGAGTCTTTGATTTAGTAGTCGAAAACATGTTTGTAAGAAGTGTGAAATGAAACAAAGTACTAAGAAAATATGCACACATTTCTTTGTAACATGTGTGACCACTTAACACTTAAAAATGTTAAAAATATATGACACTTGCTAATACAGATTATTCATGACCTGCCTTACATCTATTTTTAAGAGACTTTTGCAAAATCAGTTGTAGCCTCATTCATCACAGACCGATATTTACATTTGCATTACGTTATTTGTTACTGAAAAAAGCACTTTTATTACAGTGATTATTTAAAAGCAACAACTTACTATACAACACTGATTAACAATATTGTTTTGGACCCTATTTCATTGATAGTGAAAAAGCACCATAAGAAACCTCTTTAAGAGCATCCTTAAGAGGAAACAGGACACTTACTGTCGATGAGAAAACTTGCTCAGAAGACTCAACTCTGTTTTGTTGACCACCTTTTCTGTGCTTCTCAGGTGCTGGACTATATCAGCATACAGTTCCCCACAAATGAGACACTTGTGCTTGCACCTCTCATACTGCTTGCTTGGAGAGCTGCAGTCAGAAGATTCCTGCTGCTGTGGTCCTGCTGTCTGAGGCTCCTCATCAGGTTCCTGTACATGGACACAAAAATACTGTTCATCGAAGCCCAATAGTAGATATTGGTGAACCAATTACCGATAATCTGTGACCTGTTTCCATCACACCCCATGATATTTGCCATACACATACATTCTAGAGTTTAATATTATTACTTTAATTATCTGGGTGTAAGTTTATGCTTTCTTTACTTTATAAAATAATATTTCCCACATTCCTGGGTAAATTAGTAAATTTAGTTTCCTTTTATTCTTGTTTATCTTATGCAAACAATGAATCGATCCATAATGTCATGATTTGGTCGTTTTGATCTTTTGTTTAATAAACGTATTTAAGTTTTTTATTCTTGCATTTGGGTCCTGTTCCATTGTGTTTCCTTAATCGGACATGACACATCATCTCAACTGAACCCTGAATTTTGTAACCCATTGCACAATTAAAATGATACACTTATTATTATTTTTTTTAACAAATTGTATATTTTCTCTTCCTGTGACAAAAAAATAAAAATAAACTGACATTTTAAGTTACATTTTTAAAAATTTTAGATCAGTAAAATCTGCAAAAATAATTCCTGCTGTTCTAATACCTTTGAAACTCATTGAAAGTTTCCAGTCTGAGCAAAAGCATGCTGTGATCTATCAGGGAAAAATCAGCTGATAAAAACAACAATTTAAAACCCAGCCTGTTTAGAGGGAGCCTGGGTATATTTAAATGCAAGTAACAGGTTGTAAAATGTTATTTAAGCTATTTTAAGCATGTTTTAGCTAAGCTTATTTAAGTAAAACATGCTAATGAATACTAATAAAGTGCAACAAAAACAACAAGCAGTCATTCATTGCCCAGACTGCACAGATATCCAACATGTCAGTAGTTTTGGATTTTACCTGATTGCTGGTTGCTGCAACACCTCTGTCCATGATTCCTCCTCAACTTTTCTCTTCCTCTCTCTCTCTCTGTCTCTCACTGTCTTCCTGCCCTTCACACACGGAGGACATGGGTCTGCTCTGATTGGCTGAAAAGTTAATGACTGCACTGATTGGCTGCTCCAGTGTGTTGGTGATGTTGTGGATTTTATTCACTTTTCTGAACTGGCCTTGAGGTTTCTGCATCATCCTGCATTGTGTTCTGCTAAATCCAAACAGGTTTTGAAAGATTTCAGCTCTTCTCCAGGTAAGAGTCAATTTCTGGTTTGTAGCCCACTTTCTGTTTCCTTTTCCTGTTACATTGCTGTAATGCTGCACAATTACACCACACTTTTACTCTTTTTCTTGCTAAAATGTTGTTCAGATGTGGATTTGTGGCCCATTTTGCTCTCTTTTGTAGATAAAGTTTTAATGTAGTTTGAAATCTCTGAGCTATGATTGGCGGAGGTGGAGGTAAAAGTTCCGTGAGTGAATCTGTCCATTTTGTCTGTATAGTAATAACTGAGGACCCACTTTTGCAGTAAAAGATTAAAACTTGTAAAAAGTCTGATACAATGTATTCTGCTATTAAGTAGCACACTACTGTAATATTATAGAGCTGTGGCAATTATGAACCCAACTTACTGTAAAGCTGTCTCTCCATATTTAACAGGGGTCAAATAGATCTCATTTGACATAATCAATAAAAAATGTATTACATCATTTACAGAATATGCTTTGGAATATTTTAGATACTTTGTGTATTTATTACCACTCCCCCTGGGATATTGTGGACTTTTGGTGATTGTTGTAGCTTAAAATGCCTGATTTTGTGGAACTTTTTCAAAAAAATGTGTTGAAAGTTGTGATATTTGTAGGCTTTATTTCCTTTACATCACAGGAGAAAGGGTATTTTAAACAATCTCACATTCTTGTAATCAACACCATATGACATGAAAATTATATTGTGTATGTATGGGGTCTGGGGGCTAAGAGGATATCTTTCACTCTCTCACTCTCTCTCTCAGCCAAACTGGTGTGAGGAGGTCTAATATGTTGTAATAGACCAGTTTTCTTGCACCATGGTGGTCATGTATGTCCCCATATACAGTCCTGCCCTAACTGTAACCCTTATGATTTACAGTGAAACCCAGGCAGTGCAACCTGAATCTGCAGCCGACCTATCCAAGTACGTCATTATGCTTGTGCATCAACATTGCTGCCTCCCAGGATATTTCACCGTGCTATGGACTGTTGCCATGATGATATTATGCGCTCTTACCCCAGAACAAGTTTATTCTCTAAAAATAACATCTGACAATGGTGTCTATTATGGAGCTAGAGATAGAAATGTGTCTCTTAACTGTCAGTTCACCCTTGATTCTGAGGATGTGGAAAATTTGGACATAGAGTGGAACATTGTGCCACCAAACAGGCAGGAAGATGACAAACTTATACTCTGGTATACTCAAAGTATCATTCATAATAATTTATATGCCCCTTTAAAGAACAGGATCTACTTTACATCTCCTGAGCCCCAAGACGGTGATGCTTCTCTAAGCATCACTGACCTTAAGCTTACAGATTCTGGAACATACCAATGTAAGGTGAGAAACCTAGCAAGAGAACAGATTAAATACATTTTTCTGATTGTAATGGAGAGGCCAGACAATCCGGTATGTTACATGGATGTTGAAGCTGTGTTAGTTACAAATATAATGCTCAGATGCAGATCCTCACAAGGCACTCCACCGCTTAAATACAGATGGGAAAAGCTCAGCGGAAACCGGATGCTGCCTCCGGATGCATTTGTTGATGCTCCAGAAGGAGACTTATACTTGGATAAGATCACAGAGAGGGACTCTGGAGCATACCGTTGTACTGTCCAGAACCTTGTGGGTATGGAAGACTGTGAGCTTATACTCAAAATCACATCTCCATCAACAGTGACTGATGGACATGGACCTACAGCAGGAACTACAGCTGAAATTACAGCAGGAGTGGGTATGAAAGACTGTGAGCCTGTACTCAATATCACATCTCCATCAACAGTGATTGACGGACATGGACCTACAGCAGGAACTACAGCTGAAATTACAGCAGGAGTGGGTATGGAAGACTGTGAGCCTGTACTCAATATCACATCTCCACCAACAGTGATTGACGGACATGGACCTACAGCAGGAACTACAGCAGGAGCTATTGTTGCTGTGATTGTGGTCATCACTGTAACACTCACCCCAGTCATTTACTACCGCCACAGAAAAAGGCGTGAAATGTTAAGGAGGAACGCTTATATATGGGCTCAGAGAAACTCATGCATCTGTCGGCCCATAAGAATAGAACAGGTGAGGAAGGTTCAACTAAAGAAATCTGCACACAGAGTGTTTTGGTCTTTTGTGCCAACAGAATATTCTTTCATACTGCGCTCATCATTGCAGCTCAGGTGTGAGGAAGAAGACAACCTGTATGAGAGAACAGAGACTACCGACCCTGTGAGTAGCTGTCAGATATTCATGTCTCTGTTTTATGATTAACTCCATGCTGTTTAGCATGCTGTATATCACTGTAACCTCTGGAGTCATCTAGTCATTAAGGAGCAAAACCAGTAGTTAGTATACATTTCATAGTGTGGCAGCTGGAAACCTTTGAATGTAATTCTGTTGAATAACAGGACCATCTTAGCATTTAAAGTGTGAGTAAAAACCCAACATCTATCTGTCCCTTGCATAAAAAAATCTCATGACTTGTCTCCAGGTACTGTCTTCCTTTGCAGAGGACAATGAGAAGAATGCATCTATTGAGGAGGTTCTGACAGCCTGTGTTGAAGCTAAGGTGAGGTGTATTAACCTTGGCTTAGTGATGTGTACAAACAGTATAGTTATTTTTTAAAGGATTTAAAAAGGACAGGTGAGTGGAAGTAAACTGGTTTGATTTTGTGTGCATGAAATTAAGTCATACATTAACCAATATCTGCCTGTGCCCCATCTTAAGGAGCCATGTTCCTTGCACACAGAAACTGAGAAAAATGCATCCCACGAGGAGATCATGACAGCACTGTGAAACAAAGGTGAGCAGTATGACGAAGGTTTTAGTGCTGTTTACTACATTACAGATATATTGGAAAACAACATCTTTTTGCATCCTTTCAGGAGCCATGTTCTTCAGAGGAAGAAAGGTCCAAGGATGAAGAATCCCTTAAAGTTCTGTGTTCAGTTTAACATAAATATAAGACCGGTTTATATGTGAACATTTACAGTAAAGGATGTCCAGGAGCCACATCCATTAGGACACAGTGAAATTCCTAAATATGTTTTTGATGATTTCATGTTTGTTCAGAGTTTGTCTCAACCTCTTTACTCAAACTCATGTGAAATGTATGGACGTGTCCCTAATTGATTAAAGACTCAGTCAGGAGGACAGGATATCCAAGTGCCACGTCCTTAAGGACAGAATAAATGTTCTTGAATACACATACGTTTTTGAGGGAGAATTCATTTTTGTTTAAAGTCTTTAAAAGAGTCTCCAAGGTAAAAGTTGGGTGTTTTAGCCTTTAGATACTGAGAAAGTGGTCTTCAATAATCTCATGAATGCTGGAGTCATATTTAAGTCACTTCCTGTTGTGTGAGACAAAGGGGTCATGGCTGTGTCTCCATACACCCATATTTGGCCAAACAGGTCTCAGTCATTCTCTAGCCAGCTTTGTATTTTTAATAAATAAAGGGTCTCAAAGGTACAAGTTGGGTGTGATAGCCTTTAGATACTGAGAAAGTGGTGTTCAATAATCAATCAATCAATCAAATTTTATTTGTAT